TTTATCCCAAGGTGATGGTTCTTTCTCTTCTTGCTATAAGGCAGTACAATTGAAGGGTGAAAAGCTGCCCTTCCTTTGCTGACAGACCACTCTGTGGATACAGGAGCCTCACAAATCCCTGTCCTAATCCCGTGCTGCTAAGCTTGTGGCAGGCACTTATGCAGTGTCATCTGTACAGCATCCATTCCTCTTGTCCTTCACAGTGGGGCTGCATAGAAGTAACCACCCTTGACCCAAATGTGTCTGTCCTTCAGAGGTGTTTTAGGGCATTAGTAGTTCTCTCCTGCCATTCTGATGCTTACTGCTCCATGTCCTGCCAGCAAATGGCAAGCAGTACCTTGTGTGAAAACATGACCTTGAATCCTAGAACGACTTGAGCTTATTTTGGTACTAAAAACTGGGGAATAGCAGCTGAACCATGACATGCTGTGGAATAGCTAATCCCTTCTGTGGATGGCTGGAGCCAGAGCAATCAGTGCCAACACTATGCAACTGGGGAGTGTGGAACTGGCTGCAGCAGCTCTGTGGGATCCCTCCTGGCTTATTACTGAAAAGCAGCCGAGGCAGAAGCTCTGTGCCTGGATTCTGGGTGCCTTTGATGAGAAGGACTTTACCCTGGGACTGATGCAGGCGTGTTGGCTGCTGGCCAATTTTTCTGCAGATGCTTGGGTCTTATTGCCTCTGGACAGCCCTTTCCCTCTGCTGTGGCTGGCCTACACATCTATCAGTGTTAGAAGGCCTTATAATAGGGCACAACAAGGCAGAATTAGCCAGGACGATTCCAAAAAAACCAGACAGGGATAATCCAGTCTGTAATCATGACTTTCTCCCTTGTTGCAGCTCAGTGTACATGCAAGTCAGCTGTCAGGCTCTTTTCTCTTCAGTTGTAGACAACTGTGTCAGCCCTCAGTGCCTGGATTTTGTACTGCTGTGTTTAGAGGGTGGAAGCAAGGTCTTTGAAGGCCTCTGAGAAATACTTCTCATACATCTTACCAGTTTCTTACCAGTATCTCAGCAGGCTTTGTAAATGCAGGCTGGTGAGCACACAGCCACATCTCTCCTTCATGGCTGCTTCAGTGATGCTTATCAGGCTGTTGTCAGCAGTCCCTCTGCTTCAGGAGAGCTGCGTTAATGCTATTTACTTTCTCGCACTGGTGCTGCTCTGGAAGGTAAAAAAGAAATTGTGCTTTGACTGACAATTGCACTGTTCTTCAGCATGGTGAGTCTTGGATGAGTCCTGCTTCAGGTGGGACACTCCAAAAACTTGTAGAGTCTGTGCAGAGCGAGTGTCCTGCATGAATCTGGATCTGCCCCAAGTTCAACTTTCTGGCTGGCTTCAGCATCCTTTGATTTGTTGTCCTTAGGGATGTACAGCAAGATTTGCCTCCTAGTCATGGAGTCTGCTGTCAACCAAGAGGAATGGACATCAGTTTGTGGCAGATGGGCCAAGGATGTTCAAAACTACCCTCCTCCCTCCCATCTCTAGTTAGTGTCTTCCTCCATATTTGTCACAACCCTGTTTATCACCAACTTCTGCTTCTCTGTTGATTGTTCCTGATGTGATGAGAGAAAATGTTTTGTTGATGAAAGCCTTTCTAGGAACACGGGAACACCAGGTCCCTGTGTCTACCTACTGCAGCATCTTGCCTCTGATATCCAACTCCTGAAGCTATGGAGGAAAGAATGAAGAAACCATGTGGTGAACAGTTTGTCAGATCCTTTTTTGCTACAGTGAGCTTTGGCATCACTGTCACCTTATAGCTGAGAGCTTCTTATATAAATAGGAATTATATTTAAGTCATTAAATATTCCCCCTCTCTGTTTACCAAGAGTAAACAGCAGTTTCCAGCCTTCCTTTGCTGCCACATGGTCTAGAGCACTCTCCTAACAAACTCTTAATCTTGCTAATGCTGTAGTAGCTCTGGTTAAGCTCCGAATGATCTGTTTTTACTCAAAGTATTTGCTATTTGAAAACTGAGGCATCTTGTGGAACTCTGACAAAATCTGTGCTTTGTTCATAGAGGCTTTGCTTACAGACTTGACTTTACAGGGGCACAGGGCTGGAATGACTCCCTAGCATTTTGTCTCCCATGCTAACAGCAAATCTGAGAGCTGCCAAGTGTTGCAAGTCCTTTGGCCAAGTCCAGGATCATGCAGTGACAGTGAGGGCATCAGCCTATGCAGTCAAAGCCAAACTGCAGGGTGCAGGTGCTTGGTGGGTCGACTTGTGCATGGAGCAGTGAAGTATCTTAAAGGGGTTGGAAGGGGTACTGAAACCATCATGTATTGTGCAGGGCAGCAGTACTGCTGGAAGAAGCATCATACATTGAAGGGACCTTTTTCTCCTTTAATGAAAAGTAATTTTGGTCAGTTTTTTATATATATACCCTCAGTTTCCTTGTTACAAGTGCCCCTGGGCTTTTTTTCAGGGAGATGTAGCTGAACTTTATTTAGCCAGTGTGTGTGTGTGTGTGTATATATA